CTTGAAGAACGACAACCTAAAAATAAACTAAAGCAGAAAAGGCTCTTAAACTAGTGGCTCAAATAGTAGAGCTCCTACTTTGGAAAGTGCTAAGGCTCTGAGTTCAAACTCCAGTAACCACAAAAAGAAAAAGAAAAAGAAATCTCCTTCCTTTTCTTAACACTAATAGAGGGTTAGTTCAAGTACTAAAAGCAGAGATACTACTAAGAGTTTAACAGAATCTTTTGACTGAAAAGTATCACCTTTATTGCTTTTGAAGTCTTTGTCAAAGGAGTTTCCCTAGCTATTTCCAATCTGCCCTTAACTGGATGCAGATACCAGATTACTACTTAATTTATGCCTCATTCTGTTCAGTTAAACCCTAAAGTTACTTAATTTTTCAAAAAGCTACTTGTTGCAAATGTTTAAAACTAAAAAGCAAAAGGTTCAAGGTCTACCCAGACTCACTTCCAATGAGAATGTTCTTACAAAGATAAGAATTATTTAAGAACATATCATATCATATTTGGTCACATAATTAACTTGTAAAAATGACTTGCTTTTTCAAGTATATTTTAAAGTAAACATTGAGTCTAGGTCTCTGCTTTAAGCAAGAATGTTTTTTACTTTTAGAATTTACTCCTTATAGCTGCCCTCCTGTTGGAGAAGTCAGATGCGTGAGTAGTTAAGAGTTCTGTTGGAGCAGTTTGCTTTGCTTTAAAAGACAGTGGGAAGGAACCACTGTGGGCAATGGGATACATTGAAGTGGTTGGTATCTGAGAGAGATTGTGCTAGCCATTTGAATGCTTTGGATATTCTTGAAAGAAAACAGGTATTAACCTGGATGCCAGGTCAAGGGGCCTTCAAAGGAGACTAAGAGCTTAATTTGAGGGAATCTGGGGCAGACTGACTGGAGCTGATGACTGGTAGTCCTAGAGCTTTTATACCATTTTTTTCTTTGGTGCTTGATATTCAACTGTCAGTGTATCTTATTGTTCTTTTCAGAATGTCTGCTGGTCCACCATCTCTTGTTGGCTTCTGACTCACTCATGCTAATTTAGGCCTTTCATTAACTCCAGTATTTTCAAACTTCATCTAGGGCAGTTTTCAAGCTACTTTCCCTGCCCCAATCCATCTCCATCAAATTTATATGTAGCAGAAAGAACTCCTTTAACACACACTTTAGGAGTTGTTCACATTAAACACAAGACATCCAGATCATCAGTGAGTAAGAAGAGTAATTTCACAGAGTGATAAGCATTTGGTGCAAAATCCTAATCATCCTATTTATTCTATCACAGAAAAACTAAAACTAAAGAATTTGGGGGATACAGAAGATCTTAGGCAGGAATCTTGGGGTACAGTTCCTTTCTACTAGGTTATGTCTCAGTGTGAAAGAATTCTATACACACACAGGCCTGCCCTCTGCCCACACAGTGCCCATCTTTGCCTTCCTTGCGTGTTCCTCAAGGGGCTGTCTCTCCCTGGAGCCTGTTTCCCGAATTCTGCTACTCAAGATTCATCTTTCTGACAATCCCTTTGACTTGCCTAGTATTTATCCTTAATCATACTCTCTTTTCCCCTTTGAGAATTCATCCTGCATTTTCTGATAGTACTTAGCCTAGTGCTTAATCATTCTCAACTTTTCCCTAACTAATTTGTGAACTCTGTTTGAGGGATTAGACCCTCACACTCTCATATCTCCCACTTCTCATATGTGTGGAGCACAAGGTAGTACCAAAAACTAGCAAGGCAAACTAGGAAGACTCAGTCCAGGATTCTGAGCAAAGCTTAATTATTAATGGAATACCAGGACTAGGGAAGGATGATGGGTATGCTACAAAATTTCTAAGGCTTGTTCTGGATTTGGAATTCTATAATTATAATAATATGTAATTGAATGTGGTGGGAAGAGAAACTGTAAATTAACCAAGATTGTGTGCCTGGAAAACCAAGAAGATAGAAATGCCATTACCAGAGAAGTAGGAAAGAGGTGCCAATTTAGTTGGAAAGATTGCAAATGGGGGAGTTGTTTAGTATTTGCCAGTCAAAGAAAGAGGGTGGTGTGTGTGTGTGTGTGTGTGTGTGTGTGTGTGTGTGTGTGTGTGTGTGTGTGTCTGTCTGTCTGTCTGTCTGTCTGTCTCTGTCTCTGTCTCTGTCTCTGTCTCTGTCTGTTTGTGCCCCGCTCGCACATGCGCACGCATACACACGCATTTGTGCACACATACACCATTCCTGGGTTTGAACTCAGGGCTTAGGCGCTGTCCCTGACCTTTTTGGTTCAAGGCTAGCACTCTACCACATGAGCCACAGCTTCATTTCCAGCTTTTTGCTGGACTCACAGTTTCATGCCTGGGCTGACTTTAAACTAAGATCCTCAGGTCTCAGATGCCTGAGTGGCTAGGATTACAGGCAGGAACCACTATAGCTTGGCTTTCATTGCGAGTTTTTAATGCCAGGTGTCCTGTAAATCATAGCAAATAGCAAGCTGAGAGATGCAAATTGAGGAATGAAGAGATTCTGTCATCGAACAAGTAGGATTACTGGCTTTTCCCCTCAAGGCTAATGCTCTATCACTTTAGCCACAGCAATTCAGTTTTTTGGTAGTTAATTGCAGATGAGTCTCATGGACTTTCCTGCTCTGGTCTTGAGTAACTAGGATTACAGGCATAAGTCATTGGGCCCTGTTTTTTTTTTTTTTCTTTTGAAATGAAACCTGTGATCAAAAAGCTAGGAGGACTGACTGGTATATCTAAGTACAAGGAAGAGCTAGTGTACAGTGTAATTGAGAAAAAGAAAAGTATGCATTTATTTGACACAGAAGAGTTGATGAACTTGAGTGGAGAATTTTAAGTTCTAAAGGTGAGCTGAAGGTAGCATGTAAGTAGTAAGGAGACAGAGAAAAGGGTAATCAGCCTCTAAGGAGTCCTTCACTATTATAATTTGAAGGGTAGTTGAGGAGGCAGGACTGGATGGAAACATTGTGGAGGGTGGAGATACAACCACCTATTTCTACTCAAAGACAGTTCCCCAAGCTCCTATAGGCATTCATTTCCTCAGGAACAGCAAGTTTGAGGTCAGGTTTCCTCTTAAAGAAAAGAGACATTTTATACTTTCATAAAACTTACGAATTGGAACGAGTCGCTTCTAAAATTCCAACTTTAAAAATTAGAGCCTACATTTTTCTTTCTTTCCTTTTTGTTTCTTTTCTTTTCTTTTCTTTTTTTAAGGTCCAAGACCAGGCCTTAAACTTAGTACCTGCTGCCTTTGCTCATTGGCTAGGGTTCCACCAAATAAGCCATGCCTCCATCTCCTTCCTTTCCTTTCTTAAAAACCCTTTCTTTTCTTTCTTCAAAGCCCACTTCTACCACAACCAAGAAATTAATTTGTCATATGGGGGGTACTTCAATTTTGTTGATAAACTTAAGGTTAAATTATTTCTTTATGGTGATGGAGCAATAACAGTATTCATTATAATGTTTTCCAAAACATTATCTAGTTTTACAAATAATAATACTACTTAATTTTATAATCAGGCTATCTCTTTTAAAGAAGTACTATCCTTTACTTCCTCTCCCCTCTTTTGTTTATTATAATCCTGATTAGGAAACTTTGCCAGTGTTTGTGCTTGACTGAACTCAAGCACTGGCTCAACCTTTTGGATCATGGTTAGAATTCTACCAATTGAGCCATTTCTCCACTTCCAAATTTTGCTAGTTAATTGGAGATAAGAGTCTGCCCTGGCTGGCTTCCAACTAGGATCCTTAGATCTCAGCTTCCTGAGTAACTAGGATTCTAGGGGTATGAGGTACTGTAAGCTGGTAGTGAATTTTTAACCTGCATAGAAGTTTTGGGAAGTAATTGGAAGTTTGTAGTTGATATGATGAGGTATGGATGAGAACAGAAGTGCTGTTTTCTTTCTTTGTTCTTTTATTGTGTTTTTCTTCTATGCCCATAGGAGGGCTTGAAGTGAGAGCTTTACGCACTCACTTGGCTTTTTTGCTCATTCCTGGCTCATTTGAACTATGCAACCAGCCCAGTATTTTTGCATGTTAAATGGAGATAAAGGTTGGGGATTTTCCTACCCAAACTGACTTCAAACTGTGATTCTCAGCCCTCAGCCTTCTGAGTAGTTAGGATTACAGGCATGAATCCCTAGCAATTGGCGCTGCTTGTATTTTTATACATGGATATTCTATTAAACACTACTCAACTCTACTTTGTTCACAAATTTATAATAGCAATTTAGAAAAGCATTATTGTTGCAAACTATGGTTGATACTCTCACCTGGTAAGAATTTCATGAGAACAATCGATAACCTTTTGATGCACAAGTAAAAACTGTTTTGTAGCAAGGTGTCTGTGGCTCCTGCCTGTAATCCTACCTGCTCAGGAGACTGAGATGTGGAGGATCAAGATTCAAGCCTACTCCAAGCAGAAAAATCTGTGAGACTCTCTATCCAAAATAGCTGGCAAAAAGCAGTGGTGCTGGCATGGCTCAAGTGGTAGATTCCCAAACAAGCAAGTAAGCCAGGCAAGTGTGAGGCCCTCAGTTCAAATTCCAACATTGCTAAAAAAAAAAAATAAATGAATGAATCAAAAAGTGAAATAAAAAGCTACAATTGACTCAAGTATTTTTAAATTTTATATTTCTATTTCTAGCATCCTGTTGGATTTTTCGAAGTTCTTCCACATAACTCTTCCCTTTTCTAACCCCTATTAAATGTAAGACCTCCTTAATATAAAATTGAATGAGTACACTAATGTTTTGTTTTGCTAATCTTGTCCATTTCAAAAGCATAGCTAGCTACACTGCAAATAAATATCTTTTAGTTGTATGATTCAGAGAAATGTAAACAGTTCACCAAGGCTTCTTCACTTAATGACTTACAAAAGTGCTCATTATAAAAGGATATTTTTAAAAATATGGCAGTGAGTAAATGCATAGAGTTAAAGTTTATTTATTTTTATTTCTATGACACAGTAACCAAGATTTACCTCTCTTGTGTTTCTTTTAACAGAATTTAATTCCTTTTCGACCTTCCATTCAGTTCCAAGGACTCCAAGGGGTAAGTACTTTTGCTGGCTTAGCAAAAAATAAATCTAATATTACTCTTATATGCTATAAAACTGACCATCCAAATACAATCAGTCACTCATATGAACTTTGTGACTTAATGACAATTTCTGACATCTTTGATTATGTTTGATCTTCCTAATTTATTTAAAAATAATTCAGATAATTATTTTTGAGATTTTTTTTCTAGATCATATATTGTTTAAACATCAATTTTTTTGTATATGTTATATTTACCACAACTAAACATCCATAAAATTACTAATGCTATGCAAGTTAGAATTATGATTGCTGTTACTATTAATAAGATTTTGCTGCCTTGTACACTTAGTTTCATAATTGTACATGCTAGAAAGCAAGATATATAAATAGAAATTAAGCTTTTCTGGTATACAGAATACACAAAGTTCCCTATGTCTATTTTATTGCTACATTGAAATGTGTAACATGCTTGAGGCTATAGCTCAGAGAAAAGAGTACATGCACAAGGAAAAAAAGCAAAACAAAACTAAGTGTAATATATAATAACTTGTAATAAAATGGGTGTTTGAATTTGTGTTTTCAATAGATGGACAATTTTATATTAGTGTGATATTATAAGTTATTACCTTTAATATTTAATATTAATAAAACAATAGGGCTGGGAAGGTGGCCCAGTGGTAGCGTGCTCGCCTCACATGAGGCCCTGGGTTCAATTCCTCAGCACCACATAAGCAGAAAAAGCCGAAGTGGCACTGTGGTTCTAGTGGCAGAGCACTAGCCTTGAGCTGAAGAGCTGAGGGACAGTGCCCAGGCCCAGAGTTCAGACCCCAGGACCAACAACAACAACAACAACAAATCAAACAATAGACTTTTGTTTCTTCCTTAAATTAATATGCATGTCTGTTCATACATGCTAAATATAGAGTGTAGATCTGAAATATCTGTTAGCAGATTTTAGGTTATAGAGGAAAGGCAAGCCAAAAAAGAAGTTTATATTCTTTATTATTGAAAACCTATGAATTTGTGTATCACAAATGCAAACAGGTCAATGTTAACAAATGCAATCTATCTAAACTTTATAACTAAAATATTTCAACAGATGCATTAATTGTATCATTTAATGTGGATTAGGATATAGTACTTGCAAATCATTTGTGTAATGCTAAGTTAAAGGAGATATTTGTGTGGATGTCAGAGCTTCGCTTCTATAGGACAGCTTACAATGAAGTCCTTTTTCCCCCTCAGTAACTGAGTGTTCATGAATGGATTCTAATTGGAACAATTCTTCCAATTCCTTCCAATTGTTCTACTTGGAACAATTCAGTTCTTCTTAATTTTGTCAGATAGCTTCTTAGGTAGCTTTTAGTGCACAATGGTCACATATTTGAAGGTTTAGTTTATTATTTATTTAAGGCTTCAGGAGTTTTCCTGAAAGATGTAGAAGGTATAGGTCTGTGTGTGTGTGTGTGTGTGTGTGTGTGTGTGCAAGCTCACACACCTGCACACATGCTACTACTGGGACTTGGGCTCAGGTCTGGAAACCTCACTTGTCTTTTTCACTCATGGTTGGCACTCTTCTATTTGAGCCACCACTACACTTCCAGCTTTTTGCTAGTTAATTGGGGATTAGAGCCAGAGTGATTTCCAGCAGGAACCTCAGATCCTCACCTTCTAGGTAGGATGGATGATAGGCCTGAACAGCCAGTGCACAGCTTCCTACAAATTTTAATGACCCAGCAATATTTGAAGAGATGTTCCAGGCCAAAGTCCAGAGGGGTCAGTCAAGGGGTATCAGATGGTAGAGCAAGATCTAGAGAAGTTGAACTGTGTTTCTCTCACTAGACGTTGTAGGGCCACATTTTTTTGTTTGGGAACTGCTGCCTCCCTTCAAGCTAATATAGGACCTTTTCTTAGGAATCACCACAACTAAGACTGAAAGACTAAATAATAGAGAACTGATACCGGGGCTTCCAAACACTCAATTCTGACACTTGCAGCCTTTACACTCAAGGAAGAGGCATGGTTTTTCTCAAACATACTCATTACTGCAAGGCCTAGGTAAGATTGAAAGCAAGCAGTTTATATTTCAGATCTTGGGCCTTCTTTTCCAAATTTTCCACTTAGCTTTCTCCACAGCTTTCCTTTCCCCCTGTATAAAGCTCCCCTGGATGATCTTTGTATCACTCTTCTTCCTACTCTAACCTTTCTCTGAATATGGTTTGCTGATAAAATATAATTTAGTTATAAATGACTGCTAGATTTAACTCAGCGCATCTTTCAGTTTTAGCAGATAAGCTTTATAGTCCAAATGAATACAAGGGGACCGGATTTAGTACCATAGATAAGCAATGGAGGTATTGCAGTCTGAAAGATATAGGATGCTTGGCTCTACCTTGCTTATTAGGGTCTGTTTCTTCAAACCCCCACTCCTTTTATTATTCTAACTGGGAACAAAATATATGGACTCAGCATTGTTTCAGAGCCTGCAGCTGCATTCCATTTGCCCTTCCCCCTTTCTCTTTGCAGAGCTCTCCCCAGCCCTTTGGGACTTAGTAAAAACAAAGAGTCATTACAGGGGAAAGAGTGGGTTGGCACAACCCACAGGGAATACGCAGAGCCTTAAATGTGAGGGTCTTCTATACAGGGCTCCTCTGTTTCTCTCAAGAGTTGTGATAAGTTAACATTGCCTTTGCTGATTGCTTTCAAAACCCCAAAGAAATATGCTTATGTATTCCTATGTGGAAAATACTCAAGGCTTTACATTGGAAGGTTTAAATTTAGATTTTACACAAAAGATGTTTCCTTAGTGAGAAATTTTATTTGTAGCTTTATATTAAACAGAATTGAAAATTATATACCTTAAGACTATCATGACAGTGTCATAATCAGTCATATTTGAAGCATCTGTAACAGTATTAAAAATGCCCTTTCAAAGTCATCATGTTAAAAAGTGTCTTGTTAAAATTATCCCTGATGAGACTTATGCTAAATACTGCATGGTTATGCTGTTCCTTGTTACTAATTATAGGATGCTTTTCTTAAGTAATGTCTTTAGAAGATCAGAATTTAGGTCTTGGCAGGTTAGCTTACAAGCATATTTACTTTTCTGCTTGAACATATTTTCCTAGGTTAGAGTTAACCTCTAAGTATAGACTAAAATATTAAAATATAGCAGCATATTGTTAAAGGGTAAAAATTCTAAGACTCATTGATATGAATTTTTATCTTCATAATTGGGCAACAGCTTTTGAGGCAGAAAAAACAATCTGATCTTTAGAGTTCATTCCATCCCTATTTTTTAATCGAAGAGGACACTGGAAAATGGATAGTAATTGAAGTTTTATTTCTGTATTCAGAAAGACAAAATGTCTATAAGAACAGTGGATTCTGATGACTAAACTCATGGATGTTAGGAGGTTGAACATACCATCAAAAATGTCTTGTTCATTCTGAAGGTTGTGGGTCAACCAGTTCTCTGGACAATTCCAATCCATACCTAGGACACTTGAGGTTTATAAAGATTATAAGTATCTGCAGATAAGCATATTTGAACAGAAAAAAATAGCTGGAAATATTGACATGGGCAACTTCACTGAGTTGTTAAAGATGCAACATTCAGAGGAATGATTTGCCATAACGCACCCAATTTTTATAAGCTACAAGCAAGCTTTATAAAAGTCAGGATAGTTCTGACTCTATTTTAACTATATGGTAAAACTGTTGTTGGATGTAGTGGTACCTGCGTGCAATCTCAGCACCTGAGAATCTCAGATTTGAAAATTATGAGTTCTGAAGCCAGCCTATACTACATAGCAAGAACCTTTGTCAAAGAGAAAAGGGGGGAAGGAAGGAAGGAAGGAAGGAAGAGAGGAAGGAAGGAAGAGAGGAAGGAAGGAAGAGAGGAAGGAAGAGAGGAAGGATAGAAGGAAGGAAGAGAGGGAGGGAGGGAGGAGAGGAGAGGAGAGGAGAAGAAGGAGAAAGAATTTATTTTACTCCTCATTTTTATACCTTTATTATTATCTTTAAGTAGTTATAGAAAGCATATTTAATGCCACAAATCAGGAAAGTGAGGGAGAAAGACATTGATCAAGATGTATTATACTTATAATTTTTATTATATATTTTATTTATTTATTATTGTGCCAGTCCTGGGGTTAAACTTGGGGCCTGGACATTATCTCTGACCTTTTTGCACTCTCCCACTTGAGCCACAGTTCTACTTTGTCTTCTTTGGTAGTTAATTGGAGATATGTATACCAACTTTCCTGCTCAGGCTATCTTGAAACCACGATTCTCAGATTTCAGACTCATAAAGTAGCTAGGATAGCTAGCTAAAATTTTTGGTTTTAAGAAGAGAGTTGAAAATAGAAAACATTTCTGTATGTCCTTTGCATTTTCTACACTGAGTGTGTAACCCTGAGTCATACTCACTTTTCCAATAATGAACCAGGAATCGCTGGCTGAACAAGTTCTAAATGTACGCCTTCCAAAAAGTACAGTGACCTTCTGAAGATTAAACTGGCATTTAACTGCCAACCCTAAAGCCGAATGGTTCTATAAACTTCTACATTAGAGTCATTAGAACAGGCAAGATTTTGTTCTCTTAAAAAATTTAAAATAAAAAAATTAAACTCCAAATTCATAGGGCAACATTCAGAAATACTTTACTAATTATTTGTTATACTTTATAGAGATTGAGGAGAAGACTGGGTCTGAAAAACTAAATTATACAGTATTTTGAAATTAGTAGGCAATTTCAGCCTGCCTTGAAAATGCTTCTCCAGACTGCTCTTCCCTACCCCACTTAGTACCTAGGAAAGCAAAGATAACTATCAGCTTGAAACAAGCAGCAAAGACAAAAATAAATTCACAACACTGCCATTCCATCTTAGATAGTAGGTTTTCCCTCTTAACTCCTTTTCCCTGCCATTTTTGGTTTGGCTAGCCTACTGGTTTTGCCAACAGTTGTGTTTAGTTAGTCTGCTCAGAAGCTTGCTGACTAACAGCTAC